AATAATACATAAAGGTCCTTGCCACATAGCAGTAGTGGTGCCAGTTGCGGCTCTTTCTTTCTTTCTTTCTTTCCTTCTTTATTTATTTCTTTCTATCTAACTTTCTTTCTTTATTTCTTGCTTCCTTTCTCTCTCCTTTTTTTCGCTTTAGTCTCCCTCGTCGAGGCTGCGTGCAGAATGTGAACGGGCTGTCGAGGAAAAGGACGAGCCGGTCGAGCAGACCCCGCAGGCACTTGCCGTGCAAAGGTCCTTCTCCAAAGCTTTGAGTAGGAGACATCGAGGGCCAGATTTCCGTATACAGGCACACAAAGGGACCATCGAAGCGGCCGTCTGTGTTTGCGGCAAAGCGCAGCTGCATATCGAGCGGATTCCGGCTAAGCCCTTCTTCCGAGAATGTTTGGGTCCCTGTCGCTATTGCCCTCATAGTGACGCACCCCATCATGATCATTATGCTATTCTTGTGTTCCTTGCTGTCTTCGTTCCGCCTAGATGCGATCCTTTTTGGAGGTGCCCGCGGCCCCCACTCAGCGCCGGTCGCCACAGCCCCAACAGCGATCGGCGCCGGGCCCTTGAGGGGCCCGGTTTCGGCTCTGGGGACTCGGCTTGCGGATGAAAGTGGCTCTGGGGCTTATGGCCAAGGATAATCCGACTGCAGGGTCAGTGGTGACCACGGTGTTGGTTAAAGCCTGCAGCATCTGAATCTTTCCAGGATGAGCAGCTGAGTCTTTCAGAAGTTGGCTGCTGCGGATGCACAAACACGGATCCTTCCCGAAAACATCGTTGTTGGGACACCTTCCTGCGATCCTGCTGCATAATTACCAGTAACATGTGCTCGTATGCCGTCTGCAAAATCCAGTCTACGGATCTGTGTTTTTTTCACTACTGTCCATCCAGGCCATGCCAGGCGGCCACTGGCAGGTGGGCTTTTTTGCACGACAGCTGCAGACTTCTGTGAGGGTGCCTTGGGCCCTCCAAGCATGATTGAATCTCACAGGACCTCAGCGGTGCCTCCGCCAGCCTCAGTGAGGGTGAGCCTCGAGAACTTTGAGGCAGATTGGGGACCCTCTTACATTTTTGCTGTTGTGTTTTTTGAAAATGACACCGCTTTGAGAGAAGCCGGGCCAGGCGCCGCCGACATCTGCAGCTCCACCCTCGAATCCTTGGCGCACTTTTGGGATCTCTTTAGAGACTTTAGAGGTTAGTTGACGAGAGTCTCATTTCTATCATTCAAGTATGGCTTGTGCACCCGAGACAGAAAGCATAACTGTCTCTGTGTGTGCGTGTGTGTGTGTGTGTGTTTTCTCCGTCTTTTCCACTTACTCGCGACAGAAACGGCATGCAGGTTCGTCCGGGGGGCCCTTGTGGGATAGTTGAGTCAATGAGGTAGATATTTCACTGCAGCACAGGCCGTCTGACAAGACCGTACCACACATCCAAACCCCAAGCCCGAAGGCCTCAGATGCATGCCAGGCAAGGCCGGGGAAGTCGAAGTGGCTACCGAGCCGTTGTGGAGGCCTGGCAACTGGAAAGGGCAACCGAGCAGACGGATTTGTTCGACCACAGTGGTCCCCGCCGAGGATGATGCCGAAACGGCTTCCTTCGCCGATGAAATGCCGGTGCAGGGATCCCGGAATAGTCTGGGAAAGGTACAGATGCAGGCATAAACAGCCACCAGCAGTGCTGAATCTAGGACTCCGTCCGTCGGCAGCACTGCCAAGCCGTCGCCATCGAATGTGGCAAAAGCAGGCTCGCACCAGCAACAGAGAGTGTTCACCCGAGTAATTCCAAGTATATGGCCATAATGTATCGAAGGTGTGTCGGCTCCTACGTGTCTCTTTATAAGATACCATCGATCGTATGCTCAATCCTTGGGACCTCGACGGGAGCCTGTATGCTGTTCATGGAGCTCAAAGCCAAAGTATTCTGGGGTTGGGCATGTGCAAACAAGGAGACCAAGAGCTGGTAGCTGAACCCGCTTCCAGGCGATCGTGGTGCAGGGGACCGTGCTGCCGGCTTTCGTCCGGCGCCCAATGGGCCTGGAGCCAAGCAGAGGTTCAGGCTTTTGCATCTCACGCTCCTGTGGTTTGGAGCTACTTCACACTGAGCTTTCTGGTTCTGTTCCTGTGGTCTTCGTGCCGCTTTGTGCCGATGCATTCCTCCTGCCTTTGGCAAGGAACGAACCTTCCTTTATGGTGACGTGACGATGCAAACCTTTCAGTTTCTGAAGTTGAAGGACGCGCGTGAATACCGTGGAAGAGCCCATTCCGGCAGGGGCCTCGGATGGTAAAAGGCTTGGGGGTGTCAGGATTGCTTTTCTCGCTGATCGTCATGCCCGATGCATCATCATTTGAGCTACGTCGTCGTCGACGTTGCCCTGCCTGATTTTCATCGGATTTTCCTAAGGGCAAGAAAGCATTGGCCCATTATTGTCAATTGAATATCACCAGTGCTTGTGGGTTTGTGCGAACATTTTGCAGAGACAACCACGGGCATTTGCAATGCTTTCGACTCGTACGGCTTTTGAACGCTCATCTTTGAGACTTGCATTTGGCTGCGACATGGTAGACTGGTGTTGACGGACCCGTTGACGGGAATCGTAGCTCACGGGAAGCCCAACTGGCACCGCTCTCCAGGAATCAAAGCATCCTCTTGGAGGGGTGCCGAACTTGGAGGCTGGAGAGAGCCCGGTTGAAGGCCTTTGAACCCTAAACCCTAAACCCCCCCTCCACTCCAGAGTCCCAACAAATTCTTCACGCTCCGGAAGACCTTTCACAGGACCTTGGGCAGCCGGATCCCATCCCAACTCACCTACAGCAGCCTCGGCCTGGTTTGCACTCTCCTGGCATTGGTTGAGAAGAGACTCTACTTGAAGCTCTTCGATACCTCCTTGAATGCAGGGCGGAGGCGGAGCCGCTTTGCTCGGTCTTCGGGTCGTGAGCCTGGCGGTAATTGCCGCGAGAATTAAAACTTGGGAAGCTGTTGCGACCGCACTAAATTCACTAAATGCGGTGCGTAGGCTAAGTGACTTCGTGTGTGATGGAGGTTTAACATGACCAGCTAGTAGAAGTGACAGCCGGAGAAGTAGGGGTAGCTAACAGATAGTACCAGTTAGTAGTAGCTAGTAGGATTTCGTAGGATTTGCTAGTAGGCAGTAGCAGTAGTAGTAGTAGTCGTCGTCGTCGTAGTAGTAGTAGTAGTAGTAGTAGTAGTGATAGTAGGAGTAGTAGTAGTAGTAGTAGTAGTAGCAGCAGTAGCAGTAGTAGTAGTAGTAGTAGTTGTTGTTGTTGTTGTAGTAGTAGTTAGTAGTAGTAGTAGTAGTAGTAGTAGTAGCAGCAGCAGTAGTAACGGTGTAGTGGTAGGTGGTAGTAAAGGTAGTAGCGGTAGCAGTGAGTAGTGATCATCAGGAGTGGTAGTAGTGGTAGAAGTGGTGGTAGTGCTAACACGATGAGGGTGGGAGGAGTCCTGGCAACGAGGGCAAAAACTCCATGGAGCTGCTTACATTTTTTTCCATCATAACCGTTCCGTGCCTCGGCGCGCTTGGCAGTGCGAGTAAGCTTGATGGCGGGCTCCGGTGTGCCCAGCGGCGAAAACCTGAAGTGTTTATGCGACAAGCTCCCAGCATGCGCCGCATTCTCTCTTCTTCAACACAGTCAGAAGAAGGGCGCGCTGCCCCCTCCCCTGCGCACGAATGCGCCCTGCTTGTCTCTCTCTCTCTCTCTCTCTGGATGTTTGCCGTGTGCTGTATTTACCTGGCTTCTGTACCGTTCAGGCTGGGAAGCTGGATCGACTTCCCGGCAAGTTTCACTGCTTGTGGGCGCAGGTGTATGATCCGTCATTCACAGAAAGATCCTGCCCCTACTACGGACGAGGTGCCCCGATGTAAAGGATCCCGCAATGTGTTTGTAATCGACAAAGTGGAGGAGTCCCCACCACAATCTGAAGTCCGGGGCCTGGATGAGCAAAGACGAGATGTACAAGCACCGGGATGTACGCATCAGAAGGGAGCAATGCTGCTTGAAGCCCTCCGATTCGACCCAACAGTGAACCCAACACCCACAGTCCTAAACCCAGAGACCCTGAATCCTGAAGGGCAGAGGCTGAAGGTGGGCGCCACACTCGCTAGCTTGCATCGCTTCGGACTTGCGTGCGGGTAGGCCTGGACGGGGCATCAGGCTCAGGTCACGCACAGGCTTTCAAAGAGCTTGGGGTCGAGGCGGTTAAGCCAAAAAATGCCCGCTAAGCCTAAAAGGGGGCCTGAAACCTGAACGCTATAACTTGCTGCACTGCACGTTTCAGAGCCGATTCGGCAAATGGATATACAGGATATTCATCGACGGTGCAGCAATTTACGGAACTGTGCGAGGTCAGGTACCAACTTCGTGCTCAGCTTGCGATCATCAAGACTAAGAAACCAGTTACCAGTTCAAACCTGCTTGCAACATGACGAAGAGCTGATGATCAATATTGTTGCAGAGCACCGATCCCCAAACGACGATGAGGTTTCTGACGCCGAGAGATGCTGGTGCTCGAAGGCGAGTTGCTGAAATCACGGCGATTGAGCTGGTTGTGCAAAGTTTTACAAACCTAAACCCTAAACCGTGAAACACTAACCAAACTGGAAAAATCCAAACTTCATGGAACCCGAAGTTTCGAAAATGAATCTCATGGCGCCCCCAACGTGAAAGCTGAAAGCTTTCTTCCCGGTCTGTGGCCCCGGGCCGGATAGATCGATGAAATGAGGCCTGCAACGATGGCGCCGACTAGCTGCGCCATCCTGGTCCTCATAGGTTAATTTTGAAAAGGGAGGGTAGGGTTACTATAAGGGCTAATTATAGGGATTGCCGCAGGATTGATGGGTTGCAGGGGATCAGGGTCTCAGGGTTTTTAGGGTCTCGAGCGAAGCTGAGGAGCTCGAGCTGTTGACCTGAAACTGAAAATCGAACCCCAACCCTCCGCGATGACCTCCAGAGAGAAGGTCTCCTCCTGTGCCTTAATTTACGCCTTGTTTCCAGGACCTGACCCGAAAGACAACATCGGCACCCAACCCACGCAAAGGGAGCCCCATTTTTCCAAATCAGTCGCTTGACACTCAGCCCCCTCGTCCTTCGCCCCTCATCGTGCTGAAGGTGTGGGGAGTCCAAGACCCTTCAGTCAACGCTTCATTGTAAGCCTTCGCCTCACCTGCCTCCACATTTCAACCTCCTAGACCCTGAAGCTGACCCCACATCCAACCGAAGAAGCCATTGATACCGTGATGCAGGAAAGCTGAGGAACCCTCGCCGCATGCCCGTCTTCAACCTGAACCTTGAAAAGCCTGAAAAACTTCTTTCCAAGCTCTGAGTCGGCTCCTGAGTGGTCCCGGCCCCGGCCATTGCGAAGTCGCGTGTCCCCAGCTGTTAGTTGGAGCCGAAGGCTCGCCGTCGGCACAGAGTCACGTAGGAAACGGTCTAGGTGTCTGTGCCAGAAGGCTTAAAGTTCGGGGCTTCAAGATCTGGGATCAAAAGCCGGTTTCTGCCTCTGGCTCCATCTGGGCACTGGGATGGGAGTGTAGAAAGCCGGGCAGAAAGAAGTAACCTCAAGCACTTGCTGGTGAACTGTGCGCCGGCCTGCCCGTCAAGTGCGTAAACATTCATGACCAGGTAGTGCCTCGTTTCACAGGAACAGATCACGGCTGAAAGCTGAGGAAGAAAAGACAAAGCCAAAGCGGCAGGAAGCAAGGAAAGGAGCGGGAAAAGCACAAACGGCATAAGACGAAAAGCTGAAGACAGTTTCAAGGAGGAAGCCAAAGCAACCAAGCCTAAATTAAAAATGAGCCTTTAAAGACAGATGAAGAGAAACAGACCTCCACCAGTAAATACTCATATCCAGGCTCCCTGCTCCAGCGGGCAGCCGATGAGCCAGGGGATGAACTTGTCATAGAGCGGAAGGGGCTCCTGCAACTTGAGGCTTCGCATCAGGCTTTTGCCATATAGCCTTCTTGGTGGTGGATCAACTGAGGCTTGAGATTCGGATCCAAAATCCAAGGTGTCGACTGACACACTGAGATCGAACTGCCTTGTGATCCCCGCGCCCAAACCGCAGGTTCCCCTTGGTGAGCCCTAGTTAGACCTCAAAGTGTCCTTTGCCATCATCGGGCTCGGTGGAATGGCGCAGGTGACCACGAGCATGGCCTCAGCAGTCTTAGAATGCTCGGAACCGCTCCCAAAATCACAAAGTACTCTGAAAAGTACTCCCAGGAAAGGCACGACGGCAAAGTCTGAAAGTGGGCATACCAGCTAAGGCCAGGTGCATAAAGGTCTCACGCAGAGAGTTTTGAGACACGGCAGCCTTGCAGTACTCCTGCGGTACTCTTGTAGCAACCTCCTAAAAGAAGCCCCACAAAAACTCCGAAGAAAAAACGGCACCACAAAAAGACCCCAAGGCCGGGGCCCAGAAGGCATCGTCCTCGGCCTTGGAGCTTGGGATATCCTCGAAGGCCAGCGCCGCCTCTGAGGGCTCTGGAGTTTCGGGTTTTGAGTTTAGGGTTTTGGGTTTAGGGTTCAGGGTTTAGGGTTTCGGGTTTAGGGTTCAGGGTTTAGGGTTTAGGTTCTAAGATGACCTGTTCTGGGTACGTGGCTCAGCAACAGGGTACTCCAATCAAGACAGAGAAGAGCACCGGATAACCCTGACTTGTGGTGCAGCACACGGTTCGTTTGCATTTGTGCTTGGGGCCAGAGTCCTCCAATCGCTGCCCCCCCCTGTCCAGTCCAAGCGGGAATCGCTTTGGGGTTTTGGCTTTCGTGTCCGTGTGCTAGGCGTTCCAGGCTGACTTGAGTGTCCGTGGCTTCGCTGGCTGCAGCCTGGACAGCATCCGCCCCGAACCTGTTGCCTAAATCCTTTCAATGGCCTACCCCCATTGATACACTGAGCCTAAACCGTCTCTGAATCCAGAGCCTGGCGTTGTACATAAGGAAGCAGCAAGCTATCTCAAAGAGTTCCCCATGGAAGGGACTGCGGCAGCTCGGCTCACCTGACTCTTGAACTTCGGCGGCTCTGCCTCGGTGTCGTGAAGATCAAGAGTCTCGTACAGTCACTATAAAATTGCAGCGATCCTCCAGACTCCAATGCACATATCCATAGATACAATGCTCATGTATATTTGTAGATGGAACTTGCAGACTAACATAGACGTATGCACGTATGTCTGTACGTATGTACGTATGTACGTATGTACGTACGTACGTATGTCTGCATGCAGGTAGGCGATTATACATTTTCTGTGTTTATGTGGTGTGTACATGTGTGTATGTATATATATATACATACACATATACAACTGGCAGTCTTTATGTGTTCATCTATGTGTGCTTCATGGGCTTATTCACGATCCACCTATTTACGGCCTTCGTATATGTTGACGTGTTGGGAGCATTGTTCTTCTTGCTAACACGCTTCTTCTTTATAGTGCTGATTATCACCGTCTTGTATCTTGGTGCAGGTAGTACCGGCAATTTAGATTCCGTTCTTCCCCAGTTGCCAGAAACCTTTCGGACTGTGGAAGCAAAGACACACACTGACACTATAAGTGAGCAGCAGGAACAAACAGAGCCTGACCAAAAGCTAAACTCTTTCTGGGATTCAACCCTAGACGTTGAACTGGAGACTGATCATCCAGAAGCCGGCATCCCAGCATCAATCAGGGCAACCCACCCACCACAACGCAGTTTAATAAAATGCGCAGTTCCCAAAATCTGACTCCTGATTTCTTGTAGCCCGCAGCCCCCAGATCCCAAACTCTCCACAAAGCTCCACCCCCCCTTCCAAAATTCCTCGACCCCTACTTCAAGCCCACCCCTGGGGCACCGGGCAGAGGAGCAGGCGTGCCACTCCAGCCCCGGAGCTCCAGAGTTGATGATGGTCAGGCGGTAGGTCTGCGAGGTCTTGTTTTAGGGTTACAAAAAGTGCTACCTAATATTACTAGTCAGTTCCCGAGGAGGTGCCATAAGGATATTTTGGGTTTAGGGTTGAGAACTTGAGGGTTCGGGCTGTGAGCTTACATGGAGCTGAGGGGGTGAGGGGTGCAGGGGCCAGGGTGTTTGTTGAGATGCATACAAGCATACATGTATACAGACATTCAGACAGACATTCAGACAGACAGACAGACAGACAGGCAGACAGACATTCAGACAGACTTTGGTACCACATACATAACCATCTATCCTACTCTCAGATACTCTCTGTTTGCTGCGCTCCTTCATGCAACTACGGCTGCAATATTCTCCCCTGTCCGCGAAAAGGAATATTACCATGCTCTGAAACGTTTTTGGGAGAGATTTTTCCGGACTACTGTACCCAAGCTAATCCTCAAGGGAACGGGAATGATGACCACCCAGCCTGAGCATCCTTCTTCTCGAGGATCATCAGGATCATCCTTGCATTGTCAGGGCACAAGTAGCATCCCACTGGCAGCACGACATCAGAATTCGCCCAAAGCGTCTCGGTGTCGGGAGAGGTCTAGCTTCGAGATATCGGAGTCACACGACAACTCTTTGCAAACACTGACAAGCCGAGAAGTGGAAGCATGGCCCTGAGTTGCAAAGACGAAGCTCGCCCAGAGCCGAGGCCCCTGCTGCGAGCCTTCGTTGATGGTCTTGATGCCCAGTGGTATGAGCAAGCCTGGGCAATCGGAAGAACAGAAATGGAGGACGTGATGAGGGGCGACGACTGGCTACTTTGGCTACTTTGCATCATACAGCTGCAAGACAGCAACAGGATACACGCTACTCGTTTCGTGGCATGGCTCCACCCAAGTAACAAATCTAAAGCTCCGAGCCTCTAAACCAGGATTCAAAAGAAAAATATGCTCAAGAAAAGCAGTCGAAAGTCCTAAACTCTAGACTCTAAACTACTCTGACTCTCCATGCCCTCCTTCCAAAAAGGGCAAAAGCCCTAAACCCTGAGCCCTGAAGAACCCTAAAGCCTTCCTGAGATATTCTCCAAGGTCCCCACTTCCGCCTTGGTTGCCTCAGTGACAAGAGACGGCTGGGGCTTGGGGTCTACGGCTTGGCGCACTCGGTCCAGGAAGGTTCACTGGGAGGCGCGCAGGCTTTCTTGGCCTACAGGCCAAACCTCGACTGCCGGCAAACCCTCAGGGGCTGACGAAGGTTCTGCCGCACGGTTTGCAGCCTCCGGACATAGGAAGCGGCAAGAGAGGGCACGGCGTGATCCTGGCTCGGCGATGTCTTGGGCTCAGCGGTTTCGGATGGCTTCTGTCACTCTCAGACCTTCTGGATTGTTGGCTGTGTGCAATCCCCTGGAAATCGAAAAGGTGCGAAACCAAAGGTTTCCAGCTCAACAACCGCCCCTGTAGCAAAATCAATAGTAGTGGGGACTCTTGCGAAGCCCTCAGCCCGTCCTCGGCTGTCCAAAGTGGCTGCCACTTCTTGAACAAGGGCTCTGACCTGTCTGTATGGTCTTGGAGCGCATGCACTCTTGAGGTAGGCACGATGGGCGCATGACGCCCAGTTTCTTGTCCCGTCGGTTTCCAGCATACAGAATACAGAAAAAACATCAGCAAGCACTACTTCTGAAGATCTGGCGACATGAGGGACCATGCATCCCCGATCATGCACGGGTTCCAAAAGGTCCCAAAAACTGCTCTTGAAGTCGAGAGCGCCTCTGAAACAGCTCGGTGATATTGTACAGGGTCGTCTGCTGCTCTGTCGACCTGCACGAAGCCCGCGACCGAAAAGGAAGCTCATCCGATCCGGTGCTTCCCAGTGTACGGATTTCAAGCCTTCCGGTTCCACTTCTGCCTAGCTCCCGAAATGCTGCGCCGCAACCCAATTCTTTTCTTGCTGGGTGCCGTACCACAGGGGTGGGCCTCCTGCAGAGCTTTCACCTGGTTAGGGTCTGAAGAGTTGAAAAGGTGTGAAACCACACGATGTTCAGTTGTAACTTCGGCGTTTAGATACATGCGGGCAGCATGGGTTGAGCGGGAAAGGATATGCATTGCTTTTGCACTGCAACCAGGAACAAGTGTTTCATGAGGTTCGATGCATCAGAACCTCAGCGTGCTGGGCAATCGCACCGATGCTTTTGCACGCGCCCTCCAGGCCCAGCGTGAAGGACCGCAGGAGGTGGACCAAGTCGCCTCCTGCACCTGCGTTGCAACTCTTCTGCTTTAGTTGGACCCAAGACCCTGAAGCGTTTAGTGGTCCTGTCGTCCTGAATCCGAGTTTCAAGGGCCATCTTGTCTTGAGCAGTTGGGGCCGGTGCTGTTGATGAAGCAGTCCGCAAACTCGCAAAGGAAGGAGCCGTGCAGCCAAAGGACAGGAGCTGCCCTCGGTTGGAGGGCGGGCGCTCTTCGCTGCAGCTTCGGATTCTTTGTTCTCTTTCGCTTGGGGTGGTGAGTATAGTCAAGGATTTAGGGTTCTCTGTTTTCTGGATTTTGGGGACTCAGGGTGAAGGAGGACCCCGAGCTGCGCAAATAGACGCAACTCCGTCCGTAGCAGGAGTCTTCGCCAGGTGCCCGGCTTCTTCATCGCCGAACCTCACATACATGGGTCAAGAGCACGATGCAGGTATGAACCACGACAGCGCGACATGCTCGCTTCTGCAGTTTTCGGCGCGACACGTGATGATACTAAAACACATGCACTAACCCAAGCGGCATGCTTTGCTAACTCACTACGAGCATCAGCAGAAGGTCTGGAACACCTCTTGGGGCGAAGGCTGAGCGCCAGCTGCTGCGGAGGAGGCTTCTTCTCCCGCTGGTAGCGGGAGTTCAAGTACTGCTCCTGTCAGCTGTCGACGCGGGATTTACGATGGAACCTGCGTCATCTCTAAAATGCGACACTAGTTATTACCTTTCCCTGAAAGGTAAGAAGAAAAACTGGTTTGGTTTTAAACTTCTGAATGAAGCTCCAAAGAAAAGCCCTCGAACAGTCCTGCCATCAAGCCTGGCTAGGGCTCATGACATCCACACCTGGACCCGACGGCCCACCTCGACCTGCTGGCTGCCAAGCATGGTGTTGTAGAAAGTAATCCGCCGCCTCGGAACTCGCAGCGAAGCCAACAGTGCCAGCGCCCGGAGCCGGATGCGAGGCTTGGGTCTTCAGGGCTTCTCGGGCTTGGGGCTGCCTTGTTGCGACAAGTTGTGGGGTGGCTTCGGGCTACCAGCCACAGCTAGACCTGCCAGACATCTCCTTAGAACAGTTCTTGGCAGCTGGCAACATCAGACCCCCTGGCATGCCGCGCGCGCTGCTGCTGGCGAAGAGGAGAAATCCACCCTGGCATGTACGGGTTTAGGGTCTAGCGATTTCTCGAAACCGCACCATCGTGGAAGACGCTGGCAAACTCTACGGGGAAAATCGAGAAAGCACCATGAGGCATCCACATCGTTATGACAGCTCTTGCCAAACTGATACGTCTTTAGCCAGCGGAGCTGCAGAGAGCGACTGCGACGCTTTGGCTGTCGGAAAACGAAATATCACACTCCCCACCTGCGGCACGGCATAGGGCGAGATGGTAGCGGAGAGGCTGGAAGCCAACATGTCCAAGGGGCTCACCGGACCTCGGGACCGTCGCTAGGCTCACAGAGCTAAGGCATTAAGTAATTTTGCTATGCACACCGTTATTATTATTGCTGTTTTTGATTATTGATTGTTGATTAGTCTTATTCTTGTTCTTACTCTTACTACTATTATTACGTTTTTTATGATTATTATTAGTAGTAGTAGTAGTAGCAGCAGCAGCAGCAGCAGGAGTAGTAGTAGTAGTAGTAGTAGTAGCAGCAGTAGTGCTAGTATTGCTAGTATTGTTATGATTACTATTCGTATCATTGTTCGTAGTACCATCATCCAAATTTTCTTACTACTTGTTTAGACTAGTTATTACTTTTATTGCTGTTGATTATACAGTATTAGTGTCCATCACTATTGTATTATTTTGACTGTTGATATTACAACTGTTATTATTCTCATATTATTACTATGATTCTTGTTAATTTCGATTAGTATTGCTATTATCATCATCATTATTACTATCATTATTGATGTATTACTGTTATCACTATTGCTATTATTAGTATCATGCTTATTTTTCATTGTGCATTATCAACTTTATCAATATCTATTATTGTGAGTTTTAGGTTTGGTGGGGGTGTCCAGTTTAGGGAGTTCAGGCTGCAAGCTTTCCCATGTCTTCAGCGCCCTCGCTTGCAAGGGTACAGCTCCACAGAAGCGAGACCCCAACTTCTTTTCTGCTACTCTGTTTAAGCATATCATTGATTGGCTCGCATGCCACATTCAGCCGAAACTGGACTGTTCGATGGCACTTGGATTGAAACCCCCTTCTCTTAACTCTCTCTTTAAAACACCCTAAACCCTCAATGCAAAAACTCTAAAGTATCCTAAGGCCCTACGGCCCTGGAATCCAAGTGAAGCTCACTGAGCTGCAGGTGCGCCCCTGCGCGTCAGTGGCGGATTTCCGCAAACCAGCTTGGCCGGGACGGATGGATTTGCTCTCTTTAAAGAGCACTGCCGGCTGGCGGGAAATCGTGCTGTAGCTGTATAAACATAGGTCCGCAACCACAAAACTGTCACTGCAGTGAAACATGCTCCACCAGAAGTGCTGTCAAGGACCCCAAGCCGTTGAGACTTTCAAACCTCACACTGCTTGTAGCCAAGGAGCCCCATAGCCCCATACGAAGACACCCCTAAACCTATGGTTGGGGACTTTGTGGGATCAGCTCACTCCCAATGGTGCACGAGGATTACGGCCTCGGACACAGGCTTGTCCCCGACATGCTTGTTGAATTGTTCGGACTTGCGTTCTGCTGGCAGAGATGCGCTCCCTGCAGCACGAGAATTACCACTATCACCAGACTCTTGTTGATCTGATCACTGCTGCTTGTCCTGCGACTACCACTAGCATGACGATGCCACAGCGATGCCGAAGTGTACGTGGCGACTACGAAACCAACAACAACAATTCTCGCCTTCTTGGCGTTCTTCCTTCTCTTCTTCTTCTCTTAACGGGAGGTTCTTGCGTGGCTTACTTCACCCGGTACATCATCGCGCTTAAGTTGTTGCCGCTGCCGGTGGTACTGCTAGTTGCTGCTGGGCAGACATCGATAAGGGGCACCGCTCTTGCTACAAAGGGCAATTCAGACATACTAAACTCCTCCTGAGTTACCCGAGCCTCTTGAGTGCACTGCGCATGACACAAATGAGTTGGAAATGACACAAATGAGTTGGAAATGCCGACAAGCTCAGCCCCTCCCTCCAAAAATTGCATGAAGCCTGAACTACCCGAAACCTTAACTCCCAAAGCACTCGAGTCCCAGGACAGCTGCGACTCTGGGGTCCGCTCTGTACCAATGATGGTGAATAGCACGCCGCTGAAGGCGGTGACTGCGCCCGCAGCCTGGGCAAGGCGCAGCTTCCAGTACCTCGGCGGTTTCTCCCTTCCTTTCTGCACACAAAGGCCTCGCGATAGGGGGGTTGCCAGGAAGTGCAGGCACGATGCCTACACTCACCAATTCACATGCATGAGGGTGTTGCGGGAATGGCTTCGGCGATTGCCCGACGTCCTCGTAGGTGCATGCATGCATGCATGCATGCCTGCATGCATGTACAACTCCAGGCAAGTACGTATGTGCAGATGTATGTACGTATGTGCGTATATACGTGCGAACATATGTACGTACTTCTGTACATAGGTAGGTAGGCAAGCAGGCAGGTAGGCAGGTAGGTAAGTAGGTAGATAGGTAGGTAGGTAGGCAGCCAGGTAGGTAGGTAGGTAGGTCGATAGGTGGGTAGGACGAACAACCCCAGAGTGTGTTCCAGGAGCGTACGAGGGCTTCCAGGCTTTGCTATGAGAATTTCGTAAAATGACACCCTGTGATAGAATTCTACATCCTGCCTCAGTTCTTTCGAACTCTTTGCAGGAATCACAGGCTTGGCAGCTTCGCCGTGCCGAAGCAAACGTCCGCATGCCTGAGCCGCCTCACATCTCGAAGGCCTGCAGCCCAGAACTTCCCAAGATTTCCCCCCCAAATCGGACCCCCCAAACCGCAAGGCTAAACCCCCAAACCCCCGGCAGACCTTGGAAGCGCTCCACACCTAGCCCCCCCCCCCTTTGCGCCCGAAGCGCAGCGCAGGGCCAGGTTTCGGAGCTCCTCGGAAAAAAGCATCCAAAGGTAGAATTAGTTGATGCATTTTAGTATATCCTTGTTATGGTATAGTAAACGATAGCATTTTTTCGCATACTAGAATATATGACAGTATAACATAGTGTATATAACAGTACATAGTACTATATTATCATAAACTCTGCTTCGAGAAAGAGCGAACGGGCTTCCTGGCCTAGCCGTTTGCCATGTGGGACTGCTCTGCAGGTTCGAGATAACGGCAGAGGCCTTCTCAAGAAAGTGCCCGCAAACTGTTGGGCGTTGTCGGTTGGGTTGCAATATATAGGGGCCACATGGGGGGTCCAAATACTTAGAATAGGACTGCCCGATCATCTAAAGCACATTTGTAGAAGCTCAAACCCAAAACCAGACAAGTCTCCGCGGATCACACCTAAAAGTCCTGCTTTCAGAACACCTCGCCCCCAGCAAAAAGTCTCAAGCCCCCAAATTCATCGCGGGCTCCTTTTCCCAGGAGCGGCTGTGGCAGACCGACCCGGCTCCGGAGCTGCACCGACACCGTCAAGAAAAAGAGCAAACCGGGGAGGAAGAAGCAGATCAAACCTCAAAGATTCTAAGATGGGCTCTTCGTTACTAGAAAGATTCTGCAAGGGCCACAATCCGGATTCTACAAGGGTTCTATGAGGGTCACTGCACGGGTTACTAGCAAGGTTACTAGAAGCTTTCATAGGGGCTACGCTTTGGCGAAGATCTTCATAGGGCTAGAGGCATTCATAGGCGGGGCTTCAACGGTTTACGGGCCTCAGGCTTTGGGGCTTTCGGGGTCTTGGTTTGGAGCTTGGGTATGGTGGGTTTATGCTAGGAGGATTCACGTCTAGGAAGACTACTACAGCTTTCAGCCTTAGCTGCAACGCACCGGAAACTCACTGAGCTGGGTTGCATCCCATCACAGAACCGGCCAGAGCATTGGCCACGCCCACATCTTCACAGCGGATGGCAATGATGTAGGTCCTGCAGGGCTTTGGATTTGCGGTGTGAGATTTTAGGATTGAAGGCTTCAGGCACTCATCCCGATCCGAGACCAGATCTCCTACCAAGAAACCGGGAGCACCCCACACGCCAGCCGTAAAAACAGCGAAGGTTTGATTGGAAGAACATTAAACCAGACAACGGAAACCCTGAACGCCATACCCAAAGTGACTTCCACGGCCCCGGTCAGGAACACCAGCGCGACAGTAGTCTTCGTGCCAGGCTGGTGAGGCCTGGACCATCGTTTTTTGCTTTGCGAACGCCGCGTTACCAAGCGCAGCAGTCGCAGGCCCCATTGGCACAGGTAGGTCTAGGTTGAAGGGTTTACTTGCAGATTTGAGGGTTTGTGTGGGGAATCACGGCTCTAGGGTATACGCTGTTGGAGGGTTCATAATGTCGGCCTTTGAGGTGCAAGGTTGAGCCTTTGGGTTTGGGCACTAGGCTTCTGGCTTGGGGTTTTCTATTAGAGTAGCAGACTCTGCGAAGGGCTACTTGGAGGCTTATACTGTCAACTTCCCATGGCCGCCAGTACGATTTGAGCTTGAGGTGGTCGGAATTGGTACTAAACCCAACACTCCTCTTCCGAGAGGGTGGGAGAAAGAGTGAGAGAAAGAGGGAGACCAAGACAAACCGAGAAAGAGAGAAATAGATAGAACAAACAGGTGCAGAATGAAACATGAATCAAGCAGCGAAGAACAGACAGGTCGAAAGAAAGGTAAGCTTAGATGTAGGGTAGAGAACAAGGAATCTATAGATATATGATGTATGCATACAGAACCGCCTCTTCTTGGCTGGAGGGCTTCGGGGTGAGCGGCGCCACCCACTGTTCCAGGCGGCCTCTGAGCAAGTTTCAGCACGAAGATAACTGACTCAACGGTGTGGGGTGGAACCCTGAACACTAAACGGCTAAGCTTGAAGTGGTTTCGGGTTTCGCACTTAAGCTCCGCACCTGGGAGTGCCCCCTTAATCCTTGCTGAGAGGAAAAATGCCATGGCTGACGAGATCTTGGCCAGAAGAGGTACTGACAATAGCGGTAACGGTGTGGATGCTGTGATATGATATGTGTATATGTGCGTGTGTGTGTGTGTGTGTGTGTGTATATATATATATATATATACATGTGTGTATGTATACATACATACATGTGTTTATATATATATATGTATAAATATATATATATATAGAGATGCGTGTGTGCGCGTGCGTAAACAGACCTCTGTACATTTATGTGTGTGTGTGTATGTGTGCGTGTGTGGTTCGAGTTTGTTTACTCATATGAACTGTACATTTATGTATCCAGCATTATGCTATTTGTTGGATTGTTTATTTTTATTATTACGTGTATGTGTATGTGTATGTATGTATGTATGTATGTATATATATATATAGAGGTATATATACACACAAGCACGTACAGATTGCAATTTCTGGTTTATTGATGTTCATGTGCAAATGGATCTCTCCCTCTCTCTCCAATGGGGCCTGCAGATGCTGCACCCGTGAGCTGAAGGCCTCGCAGAGCGCCGAGCCGCAAGATGTTGCCTGGAGCCCAAGTAACCCTTAGAGTAACCTTAGTAATCCATAAAGGTTCTCTAAACCCTAACCCCCAAAAGTGTGCTAAAGCACGGTGGTGCGCTTGTGATTCTTGACTCTTGGGCCGCAGGTCTGCGAGACTGAGATCAGACGGGCCTACGGATGAGGGAGGGCGTAGGGTTTAAGAGCAGCAATTTGCATGGACCACTCCAAGCCTGCATCCCATGATGCCCCATGCATGCTAGAACTTCCGCCGCAAAACCCGCCTTGCTTCGGGGGTTTCTGAAAATGCTTGGAGCCTACCTTGGGCTCCGAGGCGCCTGGAGCTGCTCCCGGGCCATGCTGAGCAGATGTGTGGCAGCCTGCATCTCACAACGATACAGATGAAGCTCTTGGAGGCTTAGACTAGGAGCCACCAAACCGGACTTGGTGGCAGAAGGCTATTTACATTTGGGCCGAAGGCACAGCAGCTACTCAAAGCATGACTCTTACATTGCAGGCGGGAGGTTACCTGCTGGGTGGAACAGGTATCTACAGTAGTGCCTGACAGGGTACATCTTTTGTAGAAGGGACTGCTCCCTGGGAGAGTAGGGGTGCATTAGCATGCGGTGCTGAACCTGAGTCATGGCCTTCGAATTTGTTTAATGGCCTGGAATAAACACAACCCTCAGGTATCCACCTCGCGTGCCGAGTTGAAGACCAGTGGATAGGTGAACGCAATGGAAAAACCCATGCCCAGCCATGCGATCAGCACGTGCACATAGGGCCCATAGTTCCTGAGCTTTCACAGAACACTAGCCCTCGAGCACAAAACTCCCCTGTAAGCTTCTCCCACATGTCTGGGCATGGGCAATCAATCCTTGCTGAACAGGCAAGTCTCCTGAGGATGTTGCCCTGGACCTGGTGCTCGAAACGTCGGAAACCTGCCCAAGCGAACTCGGCATATACCGCGAAAGCGATGCCATATGCAATCGCTACCAAGAGCGTCCAGCGCTCGTAAGTTGGGTTTGCCAGTTCCGCAAAGACCTTCGGGGCATTGTAGTGGGCGACGAAAGCATTCGTGTAAAGAGAGATGGCCTCAAAAATACCCATGTTCCATTCGCACAGCGGGGTGTCGTGACTGATACTGGTGGAGTTCATCCAGGAATCATGGATAACTAGGATCACAACATAGACCAACACCCCGAGACCGAGAATGGAGGTGTACGCCAATACATGCAGGTCTCTTGCCAAAGACAGAGGAAGCAAAACCATGGCTGTGATAACAGTTTGATTCAACACCCGGCTCTTTGTGAGCAGGTGGTCCGGACCCAGCAACCCAAGGAAGGACTTGCTCATGAAGTCGCCGATCAAGATAATGTAGCAAACCAGCGTAATCCAGCCGTTCAGAAAAATGATAACATCGATGAGCCATGCAGTGTTGGCACTCAAAAGTTTGTTCCAAAGCTCTCTAAACGTCTTTGCTTTGCAGGTTATGCATGAATACCCAACCATCCAGTAGGATCCAGCACTGAGAATGCCAATGATCCTTGGAATTCGCCCATAACACTGGAGCACTTCAGGTTGGCACGTGGTTCCTTTATGGTGTTGCTCTCATCTGCATCGATCTCTCAATTTAACTTGCCTATCTATCTGCACATACATACACTTATCCATCCCTCTGCCCATCCATCCATCCCTCCCTCCCTCCGTCCATGCATCCATTACATGCATGCTGCTGCCAGCCGAAGCCAACCTATGCCAGCCACTCTGCAATGAACCGTACACGGCACTTGCACACGGCTGCTGGTTTGCGCGCCTTATTGGTAGCAGAATGAGGTGGGGCCCGTCCCAGCTCAAGTCCTCCGCAGCATTCCACTCGAGAGACCCACCAAAACCCAAAGTCGAGACACACAAAAACTCCCCCAAAAAAAAAAACAAAAACCCACTTTCTTCACCACCCCCTCAACCCTAAACACGGCCGAGGCTCCCCAACACCACCAGGCCCGGGAGCGGACTGGCATAGCGGAGGCCGATGGGCAGCGAGAAGATGCCCGCGCCAATCCTTTGCAGACTGCGAATTTCAGGGTTTTTTTTTTTTGACGCCCCTTTTCCCTCAGCCCGTGAAGGTCTCAAGGGTTTAGGGTTTAGGGTTTCGTTGTAAGGGGATTAGAATAGGGTACTATGACGAGGCTTAGGATGCTGGAAAATGGGGCTTTGCGAGGTTTGGGCAAGGGGGAGTTTGGTTTCGGATGCCGGGCTGGAACTCCAGGGTTCGGGGCCGTGGGATTTTTCTTTTCCTTGAAGCAATGAGCGGTTGGAGGGGCTCAGGGATGTTCAGGCTTCCACCAGGCCTTTGCAAGCTTTGCTTTGGTTTGGCTTTGCAGGCCTCTGGGTTGTGGCCTTCCTGCTCCGAGAGACGCTAGAGCCTGCGCCTGCAATGGCATACCTGGTCCGTCCAAGCTGCATATTCTTCAGGAGGGTCGTGACCTCGGAACTGCAGGAAGCCCGGCTAAACCATGACCAGGACAGGCCTTGTTGCTACGAGGGTGCAAAGGGGATCAATAGAAGTTGCATACTCATTCTGAGGGCTTCTACATGACGGCTTTGCTGGTCAGTTAGGCAAGCAGCGTGTGACCACCCGAATCCTCTCATGTTGACTGAGGCCTAAGTCCTCAGCTGCCATCTCTGGTTTAGGTTTTGTTCACGGCTCTTCTCCATCCGCCTAGGCTCCTAGGCTGGCTTTCAATCGGAGGCGCCGACTTAGGGCTCGGGGTTTTGAGGCGCCGGCTGTCAAAGCTATCGACGAACCATTGGTGCCGTCTGCTCTTGGCGGATCTGACCTCCTGGAAGATTCGACCAGGTTGTCAGGTTGGGACCAGACCTATAAGGGTAAGAAAATCTGCAAGGGTGCTATCATATAAGGCACTGCAATACATCGAGGTCCTGCAAACCTTCAACAGGCAGATTCACAGAGACTCCCCCAACCCCGCGGCTGGGGGTCGAGAAGCAAAGTGAGCCCTGGATACTCGCAGTGTGAGATCCCGATCCTGACCGGCCCGGTGCTTGGGGACGACATCACTCGATGCAACGAGCAAACCTACAAACTCTGCTTGAGCCTGGACGCGGAACGACTTGTTCCATGCCTCGCTTTTTTACAGCTAAGCAATGGCAGGAATCAGCCGGCTGCATCCCACTGTGAAAAGTCCCAAGTTCGCCTGAAAACTTGGCAGAGAGAACAGACATGAGCAGACCCCGAGAACCTCAGCAGCCATTTGCTTCTCTTCGGGGCTCCCGACCCTGCACCCGGCGGCCCGCATCGTCGGTGCCCAGACCCCCGGCAGTGATGCCTAAGGAGAGAGCCACCGTTTCTACTGCGCTAGTCTCGAGTGTTCCCGGTCTAAGGCTTGGAGCTTGGTGTCTAGGATGTTTGGGTTTCTTCTCTGTTTAGGCATCCATCGCAGAAAGCGTTCAAAACCTGCCAAGTTTCAGGAAGTTTCGTTCTGTGCGGCGCCAGAGTTCCTGTGGTGACGCAAAGTGCTGTTCAAGGGTTTCCACGCAATTATCTCCACGATACATTACTTGCCCTTGCAGAGATGCCTTCACATAACCCCTTTGACGCAGCCGCATATCATAACTGAACCCTGTATTCCCAATCAACCACCCCGTGAACGTGATCACAACAAATAGCAATGGATAAAACTGATGCGACAAGACCATGCTTCTCTGGACATGCAGACAGACTGCTGTACGATCAGCACTGGACTCCACAGACAGCCTGTCGGGTATCCCGAACTCGAGCTGTGAAGGTCCGAGACTCCCAACCACAACCCCATGAATCGGCCCCGGGCCGATGTTGATCTCCTTCTCCGTTGCTTGGATACCGTCCAGGAAGATGAGCACCTGGACAATTTCAGAGTCTGCGGCTTGCGGTGCGGGTGTAGAGGCTTGCTGGCTACCTACATACATGGACTTCATAGTTCATCATTGCTATAGATACGATCATATGTACATACATACAGTATTCATGAATGCATACATACTGCCTTCCTGACGTACGTGCTTACATAATAACTTAACTACTTACTTACATACATTCTTACATATTCATTATACTTACTTGCATCCATACCCACACACATCTACTGATACTGGTGACTCTATGAGATTCTATGACTGTTCAGTGGTGAGTAGCTCTGCCATTAAAGCTTCTACCCTGCATGTCACCAAGCAACATTATCTTGGAGGCGCAGCAATCAAGCCACGGGCACCGTTCGATCCTGGCAATCGGCGGTGATGGTCACTGTATGCCAGCGATCAGATCGCAAGTACCTCGCACAGGCACCGAACCCTACATCAGAAGATGTTGAAAAGTTGGTTGGTGCGGTTCGGTGTAGTTGGACAACCAGGTGCACTAAACCTCAAAGACGGTTACACATCAGCTCCATGTCTCTGTTTGCGTTGTGACTGCTGTCATGCCATCAATCACAACCAAGGAGAGCACTCCCAATCCGCACACAGAATGGACTGTTTTCACATACCATGCCACATGGCCCAACAGGCGATCGCATGGATCACCTGTTGCTTTGATGGGCCCAGCAGTCGGCTTGAAGTGGACTCGGCGAGTGGTAAGAACCTTCTTGCGCCAGCCCACACGTCAAACTGCCAGTGCGGTTGCTGACAAGTCCTCGCTGGGAGTGATAGCATGGGCTCACACAGATCCATGCAGATCCCGTCCAAGTCCGTGAAGGTGTGAAGACTGACACAGCTCTCAACTCGCATCGGATGACATCACCATTTCCCAGCCGTGTCGCGGTATGAGCTAAAGTGGGACCAATGCCATGGAAAGAGATCGGGTATGGAACCTGGTCGGTAAGGGGAATCACTACAGCTGAACCACCTGCCAGTTCTTTCTAGCTGGAGAGCAAGCGAGTGCTGACCGCCCAGTCGGAGAAAAGGCTGATTCTGGATAGGATTCAGTCCCATCGAGATTCAGGCATGCTCTCAACAGACCGCTTGCGCGGTGGGCAGTGACAGCAACCATCTCTTCGGTAAACCTACAGGCAGTGCCAAGTAGGATTCCTGCCGGACAGGCAGAAAATCTGCAGTCATGGCCACGCAGTAGCACTCTGAGGTGGAAAGACTGAAGCCGTGAAGGCCAGAGCACAAGACAAGGCGAAACACGAAACATCCAGTAGATCCATGAGCAGGCTCTGCCACAGAGACTATGCCCAATGGTGGTCAGGAGAAGAAAGCCGGGGCTGCTCCCGTTGGCCCTGAAGCGTGGTCGGCGTTGCCGCGATGCATGCGCCGATGATGTGATGAGGGTAAATGTGCTGCTCCGCCGAGAGCCGATGACACGACGCAGGTTTCATGTCCTGACTGAGGCAGATTGCCACGCTCAATCTGTTCCGTCCGTGCTTGCCGTTATGCACGGAACTTTGGCTGGCGACTAATTAGAACCCCTAGAGTGCTGCGTGAACACGATGACATTGCATCCGGCACTGCGGGAACCTATGGACCTATTCACGACCAATGATGACGAATGATAGCAGCCCAAGAATCTGAACACGAGGGTGCGCACACATTCAGTGACAGCCTCCAAATCAGCAGCAACCCCACAAATCCAGGCTCCTACCTTTGAGACACTCCCAGTGTGCACGCGTGCCTGTTGCTGGTCGTTGGTCGTTCGGATAAGCCGGCTTTCAGGAAGCACCTCGGGCGGGCAATAGAGCTAACTAGGCGAAACATGGACTCTGCAGAGTGCCGAGATCCCTCGCTGCAAGGCGGCACTAGGATTTGGCCGAAGTCCCCGAATTGTCAACACCTTTTTGGCCTCTCGCACTCAGCAGGACACAGAGTGCTTCCCGAGCTCCCGGCTGTGGGCCCTTTGGCGGCTTCTGACCGTGCGCTTCCTGGCAGAGAAGAAGTTTTCAAGCGGGTGTCTTACCATTTCCAGTTGTGCAAGTATTGCTACAAGTGTCTTCACGCTGATTGCTCATGCTTGTCTCCACTACGGAGACTAGGGACTAGGGCTTGACCAAGGCTAAGAAAAAAGGCAAGTAGGAATGCATAGGAACTAATTCGTCCAGACTGAAGCTGCCTGCTCCGGGGGCTCTCAGGCCCCTTATGCCTTCGAGTTTAGGGCTATCGATGGTTATCGCTTATCACTTGTCTCGAGACGGATACGTAAAAAGCTGTAAAGGCTTGGAGCGTGGAGCCTTCGGACCCCTTGCACACGTCCGGATCCGGCCCTGAGCCCTTCCCGAAGCCTCCACTAGCTCCATGTCGGTCTTGCGGATGGTCACCTTACGGATCATTTGAGCTCGCTGGCTTCTATGGCTGCCTAGGTTTGACGGAGGGCATGGCATCTGCAGCCCAGAGTGCCCGGCCCAGCCACGCGGGTCGAACTTGTCGTCCATGTCGGCAGAAGCCTTCGAAACGAAAACGGACCCATTGGAGCCCAAACTGTTTCTTTTCGGGCCCCAGTTGTCCTGAGGTACCAGTACCTCGGAAACCTCCCCCAAGCCGTAAACCATAAACTCATAAAGCCTACATCCTAAACCACAGGATTTCGTCTGAAGGCATATCTCAGGGCTTCGTCGAGTTGCATGCCTTCGTCTTAACAACGGTGTGAACTCCTTGGACATCTGGAGCCGTTAACGATCAAGAAGATCGAGTGTCGACCGGTTTATGTTTTAGGGCTTAGGGTTTACCATTCATATCCAAACCTACCAACCCGAAGAACATAGCCTCTCCCAGTCTTCGCAAGCGCAGCTTGTGGGTGCCGCTGTTGTGATACTCACGCTCCTGGCGAAGGGGTACAAGGCTCCAGAAGTTGTCTTCTGCAGTCCGAAAGGCAAGATTCAGTGAAGGACTTCCGCTTGCCCCTTCCTTGCCAAGCTCCAGCTCTTCGTTGTCGGGATCCGTCAGGGAGATGCCGGACACGCCTGAGGCACGCTGCAGATACTGGTCTCAGACGTCTTATAAGTCGAAACTGCAGGTCGTGCTGCTGAGGATTCGGCCTTTGTCGTCAAACCAGCCGAGAACCTGCTTCGACTTCGGCCGCGTCTCAAACAAGAGGCAGTGCATCCCAGTGCCGAGGCCTTGAAATCTTTGGACCAGGTCTTTTCGGAATCGGAAGCATCGATGATCTGGAAAGTGTGCCAGCCTTTCAGCGAGGCTTCAGTCGAAGTGCAACTTTCAAGTGACGTCTTTTAGCCCATGTTGGACTCAAGCTGATGCGGAAGAAAAGACCCTGAGCATGAAGCTCGGAGGCTTCGAAGCCAAGACATCCTACCTCTCTCGGTTTGGGCGGTTGCATGACCTCCCAGAACTCACCTCCGAAGTCCCGCGCAGCTGTGCAAGCTTGAAGGGATCCCCTAACTCCCTGTTCCCAAGAGCCCCAAGAAGCCAAACCTACTTTACGATCCCTGTCGGAGGCCCGACAAGCATTTTTGAAAGCAACCCCTCCATCAAGCTGCTGAAGCCTGTCTTCCGGATGGTGATGCGCACAATGTGCATCAGTCGATCGCGGGGTGTCCAGCCTGTGCTCCAGCCGCGCAAACATAAACAGCACTGCCAACGGCATTGGGAATGCCCCCAATGAAGAATCTGTGCAGTGTAATGGATGCATGCACACGCAGGCAAGCAGACCAGCCGGCAGGTAGGCAGACATGACAACGCTCGGAAGGGGGTTAGCAAGAGAGAGCACATACAGATGCAAATGCACGTTCCTATCAATGCTTCGTTGTTGCATCTTCGACGTTGGCGAGACATTTCGGCAGGGCTCTTCTGCAAGGCTCCTGGAATCTACAGCAAAGGTCCGGGAATCTCTGCTAAACGTCCGGAGTACCAAGCCCAAATGCAGGTTTTTCGCCACAGTCCAGAAACCTGGGAACCCCAAACATCACTGGGTCCCCGCACCCATGTTCGCGCCGGCCTCCCCGTCCACCCCGGCGAGGCCTCCCTCAACACCAGGGCGGAAGTTCAGGGTCTTCAGGACCTGAGCTGCGGAGTCTCTTGCGCCTGAGGTTAAGGTTTAGGGTTTAGGGAGGAATGGGGCCTGGGACTATACGACGAGGCAGGAAGAGGGAAAGCTGTAGTGGCCGGCAACAACCTGCTGGGCAAAGAGCTGTGCACCCCGGCATATGACTGCACACTGACTGCAAACAAGCACCACACCCCCCCNNAAAAAAAAAAAAAAAAAACAGGAGGAGGTTGTGGAACGACCCAAAATCCAGAGGGAGCTCAATCACGTTCAGCTGGGAGGCCCCCTTGGAACAGATTCGAATGGCCGTCGCGGCCGCTCCGAAGTCGTTGCCAAAGTATCCTGCTGTCGTAGATACCATACGTATCTATACTAATCTATACCTACTATACTACGATACTACGATACTACTATACTACTATACCATATTAATATTGATGCTATGTTAGACGGTACTATTCTACTACTATGCTTTACTATTAACTGTGCTATATCGACTGCGCTGGGTGTTCCTGCTGAAAGTGGTTTCGGGGCTTTGCGGCTCGGGTTGATTGCTGAGGCCTCGGCTGGTTTCTGGGCCTTCAAACCCTGTGCGTCCGACGCGATGGTCTGACCTACCAGTTGAATCCTCAGACAATGAACCCGAAACCTTCCAAACTCCGTCACTGACCCGGCTTGGCTCCTGCTTCGACCTCCACGACAAACTCCTTCAGGCGCGGCCATGTGCAGGGGGTTAAATTCAGAGATCGGCTCCGAAAGCCGACAGTGGCCCTCAGCGTCTATCCCCAATATCCAATATCTCCAGCAAGCCCTTGCAACTTTCAGAAACTGCAAAAAGGCTAATCGCAGATTGTCGTAGATGTACTCGCCAAATGTGTCGAAGAGTGGCAAAACATTACCACTAAAGCACACCATAACAAACTTCAATTATGAGATCCGGGACCCTTGACCCTCGACCGACTGCCCCGCTTCGCCCGCGGCATCGCTAGAAAGCAAGCATGCAGCCCTTTTCAGCATCGCCTCGGGTTCCATGGTGTCGATGGCAAGGAGGTCCCCGTCGGCTTGCTTTGCCGCATCAGCCTCAGGCTTCGGCTTAGAACTCCGGAGCTAAAAGTTCGAATGTCAAGAGTTTCGGGGCTAGGGGCTCCTGCCTTGTAGCGGATGCGAAGCCGCCTTTCGCCCGTGGGAAGCCGCTTTGGCGGAATGCCATCCTCACACAGCATCACAGCATATGGTGCGTTTCGGATGCCTGCCCTTTCCTTGTAGGGGTTCACGCGGTCCTGTCAGGGTTAGGCATCCATGACCCTGTCAAGCTTATGCTTCACCCTACTCGCACCACGTCATGTTCCCCTAAAGCTCCCGAGGTGGCCTCCGCACCCCAACTAAACCTCACAATCCGAAAGTGAAAGTCCGGGACCCAAACTCCGAAACTAAATACCCTCCATCGAATGGCCCTGCATCCTGACTCCGCGTCTCTCTCTCTCTCTCTCTCTCTCCCTCTCGCCTCGACAACCACGGCATTGGCCGGAAGCCGGCACAACTCCTTCGACCAGCAGGTTTCGGATTTGAGAACACAGCCCTCCAGGATTATGGCAAGGATCGACAGCTGCATTCAGGTTTTGTGGCTTGGGATCGAGGTCTGAAACCCACCATCCGGACCCCCACAAGCTCGACTGACCTTCAGCGCAAGCAAAACAGCTGCTCCACCCCTCCACACTAAGTTCAAGCCCAGCTCAGCACTCATCACCGCAATTATCCTACAATCCACCACTGGTTTTTGTGTCCGCGAAACCCGAGTCTCCCGTCGGTGAATCCTTGGAGTTGGGATCCGCTTCCGCATTCACTACGAGACCGTTCTCTTTGGTCAGCACCTGGCAGGAGGCCGGGGCAATAATTCCCCCAGGAATCGAGCTCCTGATCCCTGGAACTCTGAAAATCATGAGCTTTCTGCAGTCCCTAGCCGCCTAGCCCCAGCCGCTGCCGCTAAGCCCCAGCCTTCCACTTGCGCTTGTGCGGCTTGTCTTCAGCGACCTTGTCACACTCACACCAACCTGCACCATTGATTTTCCCATACACGATCGCAACTCGGGTCGACTCCAACATGTGCTTCTCAGGTGTCGCTGGGCACAAGACAACACAAAGCTCGTCGGTGGAGTGCGGATCTGGAAAGCTCGCCTGGAAGAGCGACCTGTGCTGTGATGTTTATTTCTTGGTAGAACATCGTACGCAACGGGTGGCCAAAGAGAACATGCTTCGGGATGAAGCAAAGAAGTGGCTCCCCTACAAGACCGAATAAGCAACACGCCCATCTACACAGGATCTTTACGCCTTCCTTCACACCTTCCTTCACACCATGCGCCAAGCTGTTCGAATCCGTCGCTCACCTCTGCGCGAGCCTTCGGCACACTAAACGAAAGAAAGAAGGAAGAGGGAAGCGCTCTCTTCGACAACGGAAGGCCAGATCAGGCGCTTAAGGTGCGATCCCTGCTCTGGTGAAGTATCCTGCCGCTGGACGGCCAAAAGATTCCGCAGAAAATTTCACAGCTTTAAAGCTCTGCGCCTGTCTGTCAAGGCCAGTGGTGCGAAGGATTTTACCAAGCCCAGCCAAAGGTGGCAAGCGCCACCGCGCCAAAAAAGAGTTCGCATCGCTACATCACAGTCCCACTGGACCAGCAACACTCCCGGGGCCCCGAGCCAGGGAGAATCTCCCAGTCGTCTGTGGCTATCTGCAAGGCGAACCTTCAGGGATTGCAACGCCCCATGCTGCATAGGAGACATCACCGACAGAAACACTTCTACACGCCCGCTTTGACAGCAAGCGCACTTCGTAGGGATGCTGCATCACACCCCACAGGCCCACACAACATCCATACAACCACACTCTTAGGTGCTGCACGCACTTCCCACACTGATGCCACAAGGGTCTCGGAACAGCCCAATGTCGAGTCCCCGAAACCAGGCTCCACATCCACGCGTCCTCCAGGGAGAGCGTGTAATGGGGGATAGGCTCCCCAGGCCGCAGCCTCACATACGATCTTCAGAGTCAGGACAGAGATGATTTCTCAGGGCTGTAAGCGCTTGCCGTTTGAAGGGAGCTGCGGGATCATAGAAGCCGGGAAGAGGCCCCTTCCTGGCGACATCTTCAGGCCCAGGACGTAGTCTAGAGGAAGCATTAACTTGGAGATCCACGGGTTCGTGTATTACGGTACCCAGAAAGTTGGAGTATCCAAACGGATCTCGGCCAGTGCAAGCGTCCTTGGCTCAAGGTTTGGGTTGTCGAGCTTCAAGCTAGGAGTTGAGAGACGATAAGGTTCCTTATTTTGGAACCCCTGAATGCCACAAACAAGGCAGTTACTTGGGACACACAGTTTCGTTTTCGTAGCCAGGCCTTTGGGCCCGGGCTCCAGGTGAGAGCTTTTGTCTGAAGGATTCAAAGCCTTGCTGTTTTTTTTGGCCGCCTGGTTTTTGAGCTCTGGGGCCGTGGCTTCTCATGACGAAGGCCCCGTAGTGGCACCCTCAAGTAAGTGTTCCTCAGCCAAGGGGCAGGGATTGGGCAGGGGCGGGCGGAGGCTGGCCAGTCAGGGCAGGGGCAGGGGTAGGAAAAGTGGCACAGGGTGGCCTTCCACCTCCTAAGCCCAAAATTGTTCCTGTCGTCGGTGCTGTCTCGATGTTGACCCGCTGCATCATTGCAGAGAACACATCCTTGCAGAAGGGGCGCTTCTTCAGCAGCAAGTAGCTTTGACCTGAACCAAGCATATGTACTGCGCTCGCAGCTGCAATAACTCTTCTTGCAACCCACCTGCTCGATTTTTCTCCAAGTCAGCGCCGTCACCAACAACCTGTCAAAAATGGAAGCTAGGAAGAAACGCACCCTGTGAGACCGCGGTATCCCGTAACGCAGGTGATGGACAGTGTGCAAGATCGCACCCCGGGCCTCAATCCCTGTCGGGAGGCAGTTCTTGGTAAAGCGGAAGTCCTCTCGATCTTGTGGTTGAAGGGTCTCGAGTTGGGATTGGGTATAATCTGTTGCCGTGGATGTGCAAGGCTTTATCCAAAAGACCCCCGGGTCATTGAAGCTGCTGTCGCCAGAGTAGCCAGTAGCATCGCGTGTTACCTTGACCCGCTCCATAGAATCTTGTATCATGAACACGCTCTCAGTGGGATGTCGGGGCCAGCAGCGCATGGTCAACAAGGGGCATGTTGACATCGAGCAGAAGCTGGGTGTGTGGCACGTTCCAAGGGCCGCAGTCTTGTATTGGCAACCCGCTTGGTGCGACCATCCTGCATGTCTGACAGAACGAGCGTTAAAACAGACGAATGGTGGTGTTTCCGACAGAAACGAGGCTAGAACGGCAGCAATGACTGGAGGTGGACGGAAGCTGCCTCGTATTTCACATTGGTCTCGCTCTCACCGAGCTCCAAGATCACCTCCATTCCGGATTGGGGCATCGGGAATGGGAGAGACTGAGGTTCTAAGCTCACCCGAGTTTGCGCGCGGAGCTTTCCTGAGGCAGCGTCTCCGATACACACCTTCTTTTTCTTCTTTCGCTTCGTGTCCTGCAAGAAATGATCTGTTGACAGGAACGGTTTGGTTCGAGTAAATGCAATACATGATGTCAAGATGTCTGTGTTGGACATTGCATCGAAAAGTACTGTTTCCACAGAGCTTGTCTCCTCGACTCGCATGTTGACGCGGAGCGGCACCCGAACTCGCTCCTGCGGTGTTTGCCAAAGTTCACTTTTCAAGGCGGGTGCGACTCGCTGTCGAAAGCCCCTCCTCCTCTTCTTCCTCTTCTTCCTCTTCCTCATCATCACTGCCTGGTGCAAAGGACATATGAAGATGCCACAGCAATAAATCGACCAAACTCATCCGGACATCATGCGAGGACAGCCTTTGTCGACACTTTCCTTGTCGCTCTCGTCATCTTCGACGACAGTCAGCGATGCGCCTGGCATAAAATTAAAGGCAAACCTCGAAAAAAAAAACCTAGGCTCTAGTCCAGGGAGACTGCGTGCTGTACTACTCGTAGAAGCACACGACACCCAACCGCAACATCTCAAGAGATTCAGAGCTGACCTGGAGCACCCTGAAAGGAGCAAGCCCACCTGGCAGGGAAAGCTCGGGGCCTTCGTGAACGTTCACCACCTGAACGCTGCAGGTATCTTGTGGAAGCCCTTCACTAAAGATACTGCAACCTGACAAACGAGAAAGTCCGTGGACCGAGGGGCACACACAGATCTGTCGTGCTTTGTCGTCTCCCGGGTAGAAACGGACTGCCTGCACAGCGTCCGCATGAATCCTCTTGCAATTGGTCTAGCATCGTCTGCATCAGTCACTTTGCTCGCTTTGCTGCACACGCTCACATTACATGCCCCACAGAGCCTCCATTAGATGCCCGCTAGTGGGCACTCTCAAGACGCCGGCCTTCACTACGCCGTTCTTTCCCAGGACGCCCATGAAGCTCCCCTCCCAGGTCATGTCAACTGCCTCCCAGCACAGATGGGGTTTGATTTCAGGATCTCCTGAACGACGAGGCTCAAATGCGAGTTCGGGATCGGGATCGAAAGTTGCCCTAGACCTGAGCCGAGGAGACCTCAACGAGAGCCAAAATCCTCCAACTGCCGCAGCTGTGATCCTGGCCAGCTCCTCCAGCCCATGACGACTGTTAAACTTGGGCCAGCATAGCCCCAAGGCAGAGCCTCTAAGTGCTTCTTGACTTCCGCCATGCTGCCACATATTCCTTGAAGGGCTTTTGGACTTTGGACTTGAGGTTTGCGGCCTCATGGCTAAGGCTTTTGAGAGGGCTTGACAGAGGAGTCAAGGCTTTTGGGGCCTGCAGGCCTGGACGCTTCGTCTCGATGCACTACACTTGCGCATTCTTCAGGGTAAGTTCTGATGCTGAACGACGCCCACGTCCTCAGACTAGCTAGCATGAGCTGCGATGTTTATCTGCAGCCATGCGACGAACGCAGTCGCCCACAAACAACTCGGGCTCTTCCTCCTCATCTTTGTCCTGCAGGGGGAGGGCACGGTTTATGTCCAGAATGCTGCCGAGAGCTTCTCAAGGGCTGTCTCACAGCTGAAGCTGGCACGGCCGTGCCCGTGCAAACACAGCCCCTGTCCTTCTTCTCGCCTTCACCCTCCTGGAGAAGGAGGCGATTCCAGGGTTTTGGACTTGTGAGGGGTTTTGGTTTTGGGCTTCCAGCCAGTTTGGCGCGAGCAACAGCAGTGTCCCTTTGACGCCACGCGGTCTGTGATTTTTTTTGTAGGTCTCAAAAGTTCTCGAAGCGTAGCCGTAGCCGGCGAATCCTGATCACACGGGCCTTGATCCCGAATGTCCGTTAAATACCATCTCGTCAGAAACAAATGCTGCTCGTCGCGAACAGAAAATGCAAGCACGTTCGAAACCGGTAAACTGTTACAGGAATCTCCCATCAAATCTTCACCCACATGCAGCTTGCACTCTTAAAGGAGAGAGCGGTGACAGGCCTTGCAAGCATTCATCGCTTGACTGCGCCCTCTTCAGCCACAAGCAAGACTTGTGGAGCACCCTCATCTCGAGCCAAAGCCGAAACGAGTACCTACCCCGGCGGAATCCAAAACCCTCTACCACAAACCCGGTCCTCAGGCATCGCTGCCGTGTGGCAGAGGCCGTGTCGGGCACGGCCGTGCCGAGCAGGCGCGAGCCATAGGGCTGCGGGCGCGTTGCTTTTGGCGGCTTCAAGAGTTTTGGCTTGGGTCTTGGATTTGGATTTGGCGACGTCTGGCACTGCAGGAATCAGAGGTTGGCTTTAAGGGCTTGGCCGTGACGATCCCCTCGCTGTTTTTCTGCAAAAACGGGCTTAGATCCCTCTGTCCGCATCACCCACCCGCTCGGGCCGCTCAGCGGAAGCCGACGGCAGCCTGTGCGGGCATGAAGGCATGTGCACCTTTCGTGTTTGTGGGCTTCGGGGCTTCGGCTGTCGCATTTCAGGCCATGTCACGTGAGGACGTCCCTCTCTACTCTGGCATCCCTTGGTAAACGGCATTCGCAAACGGTGCCAAGGTTGGATCGTTGAGGCAGCCCGGCCCTCCGCCTGCCACAGGAAGGCCAACAGGAAGAAGAACACCGGAAGGATCTGGCGTGGCTGATGCGGATGTTTCCACATAGCTCATTTGTCGTTTCTGTGGAGAGGTTGACCAAGTTCGTCGTGACATTCCAAGCTCCAGCCCCTGGAGAACAAGCTCGACACCTCAAGCATCGTCCCCCTTGCCAAGATGACTGTGTAGGATGAGCAACAAATCATTTTTGTTGCTGGTGTTGTGATGATGGTGATGGTGATGCTGATGGAGAGGGTGAGGTGACGCTGATGCTGGCCATGATGATCGCTGCTTATGGTGATGATGGTGACGATGGCGATGACGATGATGATGATGATGATGATGGAGGAGGAGGAGGAGGAGGAGGAGGTGGTGGTGGTGGTGGTGGCGGTGGTGGTGGCGCTGGTGGTGGCGGTGGTGGTGGTGCTGGTGGTGGCGGTGGTGGTGCTGGTGGTGGCGGTGGTGGTGGTGCTGGTGGTAGCGGTGGTGGTGGCGGCGGTGGTGGTGGTGCTGGTGGTGGTGCTGG